CTTAGCATACGCATAGCCATGGTGGGTATTAGATTGGCCCACCCTGGGTCGGCTTTGAATTATTGTTTTAAGATAGTGGAGTCCATTGTTAGTAGATATTGTTTGTTTTAGCTCGTTACATATCGTCGTCATCAGCCTCACGGTTTTAAAATGCGTCTATTAGGGATAGTTTTTTACACTTTTATAATAAATGTTTTGCTCCTCTCTCCAACCGACGTATGATCTAACAATCCACTTTCTTGGGGGTCGACTTCCTTATTGACACACTACTCGGTGTTTGACTCTGATCCCACCGCTAGCAGATATTATCAACTTTACCCTGTTACACATCACAGTCCTCACAGTTTTGAAATGCATCTACTAAGGAGAGATTTTCACACACTATCCACCATGAGCTTTACTCGTATCATACTTAATCATAGGCTTTATTCATATCGCTTAGATTGTTGTCACTCCTTCCTCACTCGAGTATTTATTATTTTTCGGTATACATCTCTATTAAGAAAATCGAGACAAATGCAGTCTATATTGTCCAAATTTAGGCCAAAAGATGCTAAGAGATGTTTCTCTACCTAACATGACGGACTCTTCAAGACTTGCATAGTAATATAGATAACGTGTTAAGTTCATCTCGACGTTTTCAAGAATGAAATTCAAATGAGATGAATTCACGAGAGCTTGTCTTTTAAGTCGTAAATACTTTCATTTATTATGAAACAATCCCACAAAACTACAAGAACATGTTCAAAACAATTTCATGAAACCAAAAAAAAAACATGTTCGTTCAAGTTCATAGTACACGAAGCATTTAGAATTTCTCCAACCACCCAAAGTAATTCATAACTCCGTTCTTCTCTCCAGAGATTCTCCGCCTGGTTCCGATCAGCTTCACTGAGGCAACTTGCTTCCGGCGACATCGACGACGAACCTGTATCTGACGTCATTCTTCTCCAACCTCTCCAAAGCCTGGTTAATGTAATCAAGCTTTATCACTTCAATTATGGAGGTTAGCTCCTTCTCTTTGAAGAAATCCAACACTTCTTGCGTCTCCGTCATGCTTCCGATGAAGCTCCCCGTAATCGTCTTCCTCCCTGTTCGTCCCCAAATAAACAGAGTTAAAAACAGAGTTGAAAACAGAGCACCATTGCCGGCGAGATTAACTTTGTGAAATTTACCGAGCATAAGAACAGGGGAAACGAATTGCAATGGCTTATTAATAACGCCCATCAAGATCAATTTGCCGTCGAGTTTCAGAAGTGACAGATACGGCTCGAGAGGATGAAAAACAGGGACTGTGTCAATGATGTAATCCAGCGAATCAATGGCTCGTTCCATTTGAGTACTGTCGGAGCTGACCAAGTACTCATCGGCGCCGAGATCTTCCAGAGCCTCCACCCTCTTCTTCTCCGACGAGCTTATCACCGTCACGTGGTGACCCAGCGCCTTCGCCACTTTCACACCCATATGCCCCACGCCGCCTAGCCCCAAAATTCCACCTCTGAGTCCACTCTGTTTCAGCCCAAAGTGACTCAGCGGGCTGTACACTGTCACTCCGGCGCACAACAGCGGCGCCGCCTGCTCCGGCGACATCCCTTCTGGGATTTTCACCACAAATCTAAAAAACCCACAAAACCCATCAAACAAACAACCTCGAAATTCGCAAAATTAACAAAAACAGAGGATTTCAAATAGAGAAACAGGGGAATTTACTTTTGGTGAACGACCATGGCGGAGGAGAACCCGCCTTGGGTGGGACGGCCATCATGATACACATCATTATAACTCCAGATTCTCCTGTTACAATACTGCTCCTTATCGGAATTGCAAGGATTACAACTCGAACAAGATCCAACAATACACCCAACTCCGACCAACTCCCCTGTTCTAAACCGACCAACATCCGACCCAACCTCCACCACTTCTCCGACCACCTCATGTCTGTTCCAAAAAACAAATTAAATCCAAAACAAAACCAGTAAATCCCACAAGAACATCGAAGTTAATTACCCAGGAACCATCGGATAATTGGACATGCCGAGGTCATTTTTGATTTGGTGAAGATCAGAGTGGCATACTCCACAGCAAATCACTTTAATGAAAACATCTTCAGGGCCGGTGTTTCTGCAACAGAGTACCCAAAATCAGAGAATTAAAACGAGAAACTCAAAGAAGAACAAAGATCCAGAAACAGAGTATAACCTGAGAGTATAAGTGTAGGGAGACAGAATCCCGGATGGGTCTTTGGCGGCGAGCCCTGTTACAGTCCTCTGTTCTTCAATGCTTCCCATTTTCTTGGAACAGAGGAAGAATATGGACGAAGAAAATGGAAGCGAGAGAGAAACAGAGTTGGTGAAATGGGCATGAATCGGAAGCAAATAAATAGAGAATTTGAGGAAAGAATGTAAAGTAAAGGAAACTTAAAGTTACAGATGAAGAAGACGTCTCGGCCATGGAAGGTGGAGAGCATTTGGGGTTGGTGAAGACGGAGTGGTTTTGATCACCTACGTCGCACTACATCATTGGTCCACTTCTTCTTCAAATGATATTACGCCGCGTGGCATCGATAGCTGTCCATTTTAAATTTAGGAATTGGAGTATACGTCATATTTACGTCATTTATGAGGTTTAAATTATTTCTAACAACTATACGATCCAAATATTATATATTTTAATTAATTATAATAATAAAAAAACAATTAAATTATTTCTCTTTCCTATTTATTTTTATTTTTGGATAATAATTTATTTGGTTTTAAAGAGTAAATATTAATAAAACAATAACTCAATCTATTTTTGTTAAATTATAAATATATTATCAATTATATGATAGGGTAAAACAATTAATTGTAAAATTTATAATAAAAAACATGTTCGTTGATTAATTAATAATGTTAATATTTAGGTTTGTAATTAATAATTAGTTCATCGTTTATGGATATAAAATCCTAAAATACAATTCCGTTATACCGAATCATTTAATACTCGTATGAGTTAGTTATTTGTAGGATTGAGATTTGAACCGAACTTTGAATTTATATATTTTTAGTTCTACAATAACATACGAGAGCTAGAATTCAAATTTCGAATATTTTAATTATTGATATATACTTTTATTTTAGTATTTTATGGAGTATGAATTAGTGATTTGACGAATACATTTGCTTCAATCTTGGAATCGGTAAAAGGGATGTCAACTCATATAAGTACCACTGATACTATTTGTTTAGTGTAAGAAAAAAAGTGCTAATTGTTTATATCGGGAGAAGTCGAATGAGGGTTTGCAAGCTATGGTGGGCTAGTACCCAAAAAAACTCTCATTTTTCAAAATGTTACATGAACGGGCGGACATAACTAAATGATTGTTTAGCCAACGAGGGATTTCGTGCCACGGAATGGATAAAAAAATTGAACATGTTTCCAATACTGACAACAGCTTCGAGAGAAATGTAGCCTTTGACTAAGGCAGAACGATATGAGTGAGTTGTATTAAAGAACTTAATCGTATGAACTAAGTTATACCTATTTAGATTCAAATGAGAAAAGAACCGAGGAGTAGCAGTAGGAGCCCTTAGGACTCTATAAAGTATTCCCAACAAAGTTGTCGGAGATATCACTAAACCACCCATGTCTCCAAATCCTTTATAAAAAAAGTAACAAATTTCCCGCAAAAATTTGGAGAGGAAACTGGAACATGAAGAAGGTGTCCCCTACACCGGATCGAAATATCTTCTCTCACACTTAAAAATGTACGTAAGTGCATACTTGAGCGTAATGCAAACAGTTTAATTGACTAAGATATATACATATATATGTATATATCTATATATAGGGTAGCTCAAAACTCGAAAATTAAAATAATTAAATATATTAAAAAGAGAAAAAAAAAAGAAATAATAATGATTTATTTACATTTTTGTCCTCCTTGAATTTGTCAAATTATTTGGTTAAATAAATGAGTTAATTATTTCTTCCATTTTTCTACCTAAACCATTAAACTAACCAAAGATATTAGGGGATTTGGAAGGTCACATCATATTTCGTTAATACCAAAATCATCTCCTAATTATTTATTTATAAACTTCATATTAACCTATAAATCTACTTGAAAATAATTAATAATTTGACTTTTTTGAAATGGAATAGCTCGAGAAATATTATATTTCTCGACTTGTCCTAACAAAATTTAGTCGGCACATGACATTTTATTCAACCGTCAATGCTTTATATCTTGTCTGTATTTTCCACGCATGGAATAAAGTGAAAAAATAAAAAGTCCATAATGAACTTATTTATCGATGACCAAATCTAGAATGTGCAACTTGTTCAATTTGGCAGGTGAGAAAGTTCATATTAGAGAAAATTATCGAACAATTTAACAAAATATAGTCAATAAGAAATAAAATTCGAAGTATAAAAGTCACAAAAAAGTTGGTATATAGTCATTTCACAAGACATTGACATTTTAAGCTCGGGTTTGTTTCAAGGTTTCATAATAGATGTCTTTGAATTTTTTTTACCTCTTTATTAATTTGTTTTCATTTTATTTTGAATATACTAATTTATTTAATTATTTTTAGAAATAAAAGTTTATTAAATCAACTATCAATATATTTACTAAAATTATTAATTAATTAGCCAATAATTAACTTGTTTGTTCATATATCATAAATTTAAAATATAATTAATTAATTAAATTTCAATTTATAATTAATAATAACGAACTACACTTAATTAAAATTAGTTAAAGATTCTACTTTAGTAAATAGTTTATACTTTGTATATAATTTTGAAATATAATTATTTATAATTAAAAGTTTATATATTTTTATAAAAATTATTTGTTCGAGGATAATTATTAAAATGGATTGTTACATAAATTCAAAATCCTAAAATTTAAAGTTTATTAAAATTACGTTAATATTTTAATTTAATAATAAAAAAAAAACTAACCAATTTATAAAAATTAAATAAAATATTATTTATTTATATAAACAATTATCTGATTAAATAGACAACTTATTCTCAATTATCCTATAAACATAATTTGCAAACATTATTTTTCAACGTGAAGAACATAAAATTTTTTAATTCAATAATCCTCCAAAAGCGTACCGGCAACGAATTCGTCAGAATCCACGGCGGCAGTAGTAGCCGGAGTTGCAAGGGCAAAACCAACGCCGATCCCTTTGAGGCATTATTTCAAACAAATGACGGAAATCGCACACTAACTAGGAGCTATTACAAATCTCCTTCAGCTTATCCGCCGCAGATCCATTCACCGAATACTGCCAATCACCGGAAACGCTCAAAACGGATGGGATCGATGCAATCAACGCGAATCGATACAGAAACAATTACGAAACTGAAAGATTAATTGAAGGATTAGAGTGTAACCTTGTTGAGAACCCAAACGGAGTGGTTGTAAGCTCTGTGGAAGAGTTCTTCTAGGGATTTCGCATCGTTCGCATCGACTTCTCTGTAGTTGACGAAATTCTCTCGAGCGTATTTAGCGTAGTAAGGCCTCGAATCCTTCGGCAACCGCCTCACCAGCCTCAGAACCTCGGCGTATATTCGCAGGGCCTTCTCCATTTCTCGCCGATCGAAATGCTCCGCCGTCTGGTTCTCGATCTCGATTTCGATCGCTTCAGTTTCTAGGGCTTTTGAGTGCTGTTTGGGCCAGGTAAGTCCCTTTTCCACGTTTATTACTTCACGATAATGAGGCCCAATTTTGTTCGTATGGGCCACTCAGCCCAGTATTGTTCGTATGGGCCACTCGGCCCAGTATTGTTCGTATGGGCCACTCGGCCCAATATAGTTTAGGGATAGTTTTATTTTAAAAAACATAAATATATCTATAAATAAATATTTACCACCCTGCTGGCACAGGAAACAATTTCATCGTCATCATCCTCAGAGATGTCAGCGTTGGGCTACAGTATTTAACTCACGCGCCGGTTGTGGGTATGGGGTCACACGCGCTACTAGCTACCAATACCAATACTATATTCTTCTAACTGCTCTGCATCTCGATATCTCTACAAAAATCATATAGAACAAAAATGAGAGACATATTGTATCTTGGGTTCGGGTATGAGTCGAGCTATAATTCGGGGCGGTGAGTTTGGGCCGATCGACAAAGTGCCAGCAATAAAGGCGACAACAAGGACAAATACGAGAAACTAATCGTTGGGCCAAGAGGCAAATTGGAACGGTAGTCTTGTGCAACAGCGGTACGGGGAGCGAGGTGGCGATAATGAATAATTTCGATAGGGTCGAGAAACTTCCATCATCCATATAAAAAGATTTCACGAAACTTGCTTTGAACGCAATCCTAAATTACACGTACATTATTTTTACCATTCAATATAATATTAATAACTTTTAATCTTTCATACCAAGAATAATTATTAGTTATTAACAAATCATTATGAAACCTCGTGACATAAATATTAACAACCGATACTCGTAGCTGTATGATTGAATTAGAATCGAAATGTTAGGTGATCAAAATTAATATGCAGGCAACATTTCTCATCTTCACCATACCTACAACGTAGATATAATTATTATTCTTCCTACTACGTGCCATTGACCGTGACTCATAAAAAGTTCTATACAATTAAATTTTAGATATTTAAATATATAAAGATAAAATTAGCAATTAATAAATTCTATAATTCTTAAATATTGTAATATTACGTCATAAAAAAACATTTTTATTAATGAATTATAAGTCACAAAGCAATTATTTTCTGTCAAAACATTAAAATATTTGTTAATAATTATTATATCATCCTTAACTATATTTAGCTGTTTTTAACGTTCATGTCTAATATAGTTATTTAATTAAATGACAACATTGATTTGATTTTAAATGAAATTAATTAATGAAAATTTGAAGAATTTAGACTAAAATTAGGGGCTATAAACATGAACACGACAGGGAAAGAACACCAACAGAACAGCACATGTAAGTGTTGGGAAAATAAAAACTAAAAAAGAAAGGCACCGCCTTTCCTTAGCCAGATTCTTTCATTGATACTATATAATACGGATCAAAGATTAATTGATTTGATATCAACTTGGGGTCTCTCGTGAGCAATCGCTCTGCCACCACTCCTAGTACCGCGTGCTCTGTAGCCTTTTTAGCCTCTGCGCGTTTGTTTAAACGTTGAAAATGGCATTCTAGAACAGTAGAAATCCCCCATTTTCTTCGATTTTTTCTCACTTCCATTCTTCATGTTGCTTCCAATGTCGAAGACCCATCTCCATGGAAATGGGTTTCTTCTTGCTGTGCTTTTGATTCCTCTCTGTTTCCCCTTTTCCATGGCGGACAGCTCCGACCCTTTGAAGCTTACGTTCAATGGCCCTGCTAAACACTGGACTGATGCCATTCCTATTGGGAATGGGCGGCTTGGCGCGATGGTTTGGGGCGGTGTTGACACTGAGATTCTTCAGCTCAATGGTTTGCCCCCTTTCACTCATTATACCTCTGTTCTTCCTTGTTTGAACTAATTTGGAAGAAATCGAGGTGTATTTGGATGTAATATGCAGAGAAATCAAATGGGTTTGTGTGATTTTATGGCATTTATCTGGGTTTGTTTCATTTTTTGTTGCATGATTTGGGTATGTTTGTTTAAATGTGGAAACCCTTTATATTGAATTTTCGTGATTGATATGCATTTTTTCAAGATTTCTTCGCTGTTGGTAGTGTTTAGGCGGTTGATTCAGTCAGATTTGTTTGAATTATAGCTTGTTCTTCTACTGCGGAGCTTGAATGGATGGATCTGGTGTCATAAATCATTTGGTTTCCAAGTTTTTGGGAATATGTTTTTATGTAATGAACAGAACTCTACTGATTCATGTCAACTTAGTAATGCATTGCTATACTTTTAGTTTCAATTATGCACTCTGAAGCTATTCATGTAGAGGATACTCTTTGGACGGGAATTCCTGCGGACTATACCAATTCGGATGCGCCCGTTGCGTTACGAGAGGTTCGAAAGCTCGTCGACGATGGAAAATATGCCGAAGCGACCGAAGCTGCGGTCAAGCTATCAGGAAAGCCGTCTGATGTAATTCTCAACCCTCTATGAATGTTGTTTATTGTTTTATTCTCTGGTTAGCTAATCTCGTGTTACTTGTATGCCTTCCACGCTCTCTTAAACAGCTTGCATTGATTAGATCTACTCACTAGGCATCGATTATCGTCGTCTTCGTTGGCTTATCATACTGAAAACTGTATAGAGCGTTGAGTTTGAAGCAGTTTGTATGAGTATTATGCTATACTAACAATCTTGTAATCATGAAGGTTTATCAACTCTTGGGTGATATCAAGCTCGAGTTTGATGATTCGCATCAGTTGTATATCTCGGAGACTTATCGTCGAGAATTGGACTTGAATACAGCCACAGCACGAGTGAAGTACTCTGTGGGTGATGTAGAATTTACAAGGGAGCATTTTGCGTCTAGTCCGGATCAAGCGATTATAACCAAAATCTCTGCGAGCAAACCAGGGTCTTTGTCGTTCATAGTGTCGATGGATAGCAAGTTACATCATAGCTCGCGTGTAATCGATGGTCAAAATCTGATCATGCTTCAAGGAAGCTGTCGAGGCGTGAGGATCCCTCCGAAAATGGATTTGGACGAACATCCCAAGGGAATTCAATATTCTGCAGTTCTTAGTTTACAGGTCAGTGATGGCAGTGGAGTAGTACACGATTTAAACGAAAAGAAGTTAAAGGTTAATGGCTCGGATTGGGCTATCTTGCGTCTGGTGGCTTCGTCTTCGTTTAAAGGGCCATTTACAAACCCTTCATTGTCTGGGAAGGATCCTTCTTCGGAGTCGCTTGCTACAATGGAGAAGATTAAAAACATGTCGTATCAGGATCTTTACGCCCGACATTTGAATGACTACCAGAGTCTTTTTCACCGTGTTTCGTTGCATCTTTCAAAGAGCTCTAAGAATGAATCTTCTTCAACTAGCTCTGGAGGAAAGGAAGGTCGAGTAGCGTCTACTGCAGCGAGAGTAAAATCTTTTAAGATCGATGAAGATCCATCCATGATAGAACTGCTATTCCAATATAGTCGATATCTACTTATCTCTTGTTCACGGCCTGGAACTCAGGTGGCTAACCTTCAGGGTATATGGAACAAGAACATCGAACCGGCATGGGAGTAAGTGAACCGAGCGAACCGTAACTCATTCTCTGTGTACCGTTCTCATACGTTAGATGCTTATATGGTTCCGTTTTTCTTTTCTATCAGTGGTGCTCCGCACTTGAACATTAATCTCCAAATGAACTATTGGCCAGCCCTTCCCTGCAACCTTAGGGAGTGCCAGGAGCCATTGTTTGATTTCACTAACTTCTTGTCTGTCAATGGACGCAAGACTGCAAAAGTAAGCATCTGTGCCTTCTCAACTTCATATGCCGTGTATTGAAGATCGATAGCCTAAGGCCGTTTTGGGGCTGTTACTATCCATTATGGTTGAACATTCTCGACCTTGTTGGTGTTATTGTCCTCACGTGTTCTTGAATCTTGTAGGTGAACTATGAAGCTAGTGGTTGGGTGGCTCATCAAGTGTCGGATATTTGGGCGAAAAGCTCTCCCGATCGAGGACAGGCTGTTTGGGCTCTATGGCCAATGGGTGGAGCATGGCTTTGTACTCATCTGTGGGAGCATTACACTTACACAATGGACAAAGTAAGTTCCTGCTTGCATTTGTGTGGCTGTCCTTTGTTTAGTGCTTAGTTTGAGCGCTTAGTTTGAGCAGATGGACATCGGTTGGAGAGGAGAACGAAACATTCCTTATAAGGGTGTGAAAACTTCTCCCTAGTATACGCGTTTTAAAACCGTGAGGCTAAGGTGATACGTAATGGACCAAAGCAGACAATATCTGCTAGGGGTGGGCTTGGACGGTTACAAATGGTAGCAGAGCTAGACACTGAGCGGTGTATCAGCGAGGACGCTGGGCCCTCAAGGGAGTGGATTGTGAGATCCCATGGAAACCTCTCCCTAGCATACACGTTTTAAAACTATGAGGCTGACAACGATACGTAACGGGCCAAAACGGATAATATTTGCTAGCGGTGGGCTTAGATTGTTACAAATGGCATTAGAAGTAGGCACCGAGTGGTGTGCTAGCGAGGACGCTGGCCCCCCAATGGGGTGGATTGTGAGATCTCACATCGGCTGGAAAAGAGAACGAAACATTTCTTATAAGGGTGTGGAAACCTCACCCTAGCTGACGCGTTTTAAAATCGTGAGGCTAACGACGATACATAATAGACCAAAACGGACAATATCCACTAGCGGTGGGCTTGAGCGGTTACAAAATTGCTCTTCATTATCTTACATAATTCAATCCATGTTCAGAATTTCTTAAAAAACAAGGCATATCCTCTGATGGAAGGATGCACGTCGTTTTTGTTGGATTGGCTAATCGAAGGCAAGGACGGATATTTGGAAACGAACCCATCAACATCCCCGGAGCACATGTTTATAGCTCCTGATGGCAAACCTGCTAGTGTAAGCTATTCGACAACAATGGATATCGCTATCATAAAAGAGGTGTTCTCATCCATCGTATCCGCTGCAGAGGTGAAATTTTTTTCATCGTGCTCGTAAACTGCAAAACTTATTTACTTCACCTACTCGATGTGTTTGTTTACGGTTTTTCGAAATTTTACCTGTTTAACAGATTCTGGGTAAAAGCAAGGATGCTATTATCAACAAGGTCCGGATGGCTCAATCTAGGCTCTTACCTTACAAGATAGCTAGAGATGGTTCACTTATGGAATGGGTATGTAAGTATCACATCTCTTTACCGAAACATCGCAGAATTACATAGACCGCCCTAACTCGACATGTCTTGGCTTAGGCTCTTGACTTTGAGGACCGAGAAGTGCATCATCGACATGTATCGCACCTGTTCGGGCTGTATCCAGGACACACTATAACTGTCGAGAAAACTCCCAACGTTTCGAAAGCTGCAGATAATACTCTTCATAAAAGAGGTACCTGTCGATTAACTTCTTGAAATTATCTTTTACTTTACGCTGTTGAGTCCTTTGGGCGATTGTGTCGTGCCAATGTCGATGATTAGCCGAATCCAAGAGCAACAGTCCTCATAGCCTTCTAATATGAAACAGGAGAGGAGGGTCCAGGATGGTCCACAGCATGGAAAATCGCTCTATGGGCTCGTCTTCAGAACAGCGAGCACGCGTACCAAATGGTCAAGCATTTGTTCGATCTCGTGGACCCAGATCATGAAAGTGATTACGAAGGCGGGCTATACAGCAACTTGTTCACTGCTCACCCTCCTTTCCAAATAGACGCTAACTTCGGGTAAGAAGTTATCAACACCCTTTTCATTTGATAATCTACCAGCAAGCTAAACATATCTTTGTTGCTACCGTCGTATCAGATTCTCGGCCGCCATTGCCGAAATGCTAGTCCAGAGCAGCATGAACGATCTGTACTTACTTCCCGCTCTTCCCCGCGACGTCTGGCCCTACGGTTGCGTTAAAGGATTGAAGGCACGGGGTGGCTTGACAGTGAACGTCTGCTGGACGGGGGGAGATCTGAACGAAGTCGGTGTTTGGTCGTCGGAGCAAATTTCGCTTACGACGTTACACTACAGAGGGACTAAAGTTGCAGCAAATTTAACATCTGGGAAAGTTTACACTTTCAATAAGCTGTTGAAATGTGTTGGAACATACTCTCTACCAAAATGATGAGATACTCAGCCACACAAAAGCTTCTTCTGCTCACCATTTCATTTTGTTATTCATACAATGATTGTTAATCAATTATTTATTACCACTTTTTTTTTATACTATGTTTTTGATAATTTACTATTTGTAATGAAATGAAGATCTTGCCCATCTTAGTTCTTATCGGATTCCTTAATCTTCACGAACAATGTATTTGATAGATATTTTGATCAATTCAAGCTTATATAGTTTGTTCTGCACTCGTTGTGTGCTGCTATGCATTGAATGAGGTTCCACCCGAGAATTTGCTTATGTTGATTGAGCCTGGCCTATCCATCGCTTTAAAAGCGCACTGAGCTAGCCCTGTATTTGAAGTAGGTAGAGGTTAGACCCACGAGCCTCCATAAGAAAGGAGCCCACTACTACAGGAAGGGGAAACCATTGAGGATGAAGTCAGCTCGGGGTTGGTTAGACCTACGAGCCTCCATAAGAGAGGAGCCCACCACTATAGGAAAGGGAAACCATTGAGGATGAAGTTAGCTCGGGGCTGGTTAGACCCACAAACCTCCATAAGAAAGCAGCCCTACTACTATAGGACAAGGAAACTACTGAGGATGAAGTCATTTAAGCTGAATGCTTACATTAATATCAGATAACTAGACGAGTACCGATTATCAAGTATTGTGAGAGGGTCACTAGAATGGTAACGAACGATAGCCATCGGAGATGGATAGTTGGCACGATCGTTAGAGGTGCACGGTGGAAGTAATAACTGATGGTGGACGGTGGACGATGGAGGTTGTCGAGCTAAGTGGTCCCCAACAATTGTATGTTTTTTTGAGGAATTTTTTTTTTAATTTTAATAATTTGGTTTTATTTGTGTTATTTAAAATAACTTATTTCTTTAAACTTTTTTTTTAAAAAAAAGATCATTAAATTTACAGAAATCAGATCGGACCGTCTGATTTCAATCATGCGGTGTATTATGCATAAGCCACATCTAAGTCCATAGAATGCAACCCACCATAGCATTTTTCTCGTAGGCATCCGTACCCTCGTAAAACCCTTGCTGAGCGCTGCTCATTGTGTGCGCTAAACCTCGACATCGGCTCGTCTTGCTGAATTTTGATCGAACGAAGAGCTGCACTGCTAACATGGCTTGGCGCCCTTCTGGATCTCTATCTCGCTCCCTGATTTCTACTGTTAGGGCTTCTTCTCTCCGATCAGCTCCTTCTCTTCCTCGGCTCCACCCGCCACCTCTCGCCGCTCGACCTCGTCTTCAATCTCGTCGGCTTTCATTTTCAACTTCCAGGTACTTCACAAGTTTCTTAATCGGCTGTTTGGTTTTAGTGCGAAACGAATTGTTCAATGGATTAGAAGTGTTGTTGAATTCTGAATTGTTTGATGCTAGATGCCTGGTATGTCGTTTTGATCTCTTTCTTTGCCCTGCCCCTACAGTATTGGAAAGTGGGTAGCTTTACTATTCTTAGTATGTAGTTTCCCACACGTCTGAATATGAGAGAATTTGTTAGTAATAGTTAGTTTAAGTTGCTATTTTTTTTACCGTGTAAGTAGTTATTTTTAGCTTGTGAGTTGTGATTGAATGAAATTGTAGACTTTCCCAATTCTCCACCCTCTCTTGAGCAATAATGGAAATACTTAGTCGTGTTAGTAGAATTTTCCGATGCTCAAAGAATCGGTTAGTCTCAATGATTTAGTTATGTAGTGTTGTGGACGAACACTCAAATGTCGAACAAGTGTGGTATGGAGAAGAGGACTTATCCTCAATAAGAGCAAACTCTTGGTGAAGCTAAAGGGCTGGACAAATGAAATGATTATTTGAGGTTTAGGGGCACTTTGTTCGAAGAAAGGATTGTTGTAACGACGACAGGTCCTGCGTTAGGTAAACAAGGGGGAGATCATGACTATAGCTCTAAGAGATGACTAGAGATGCTCAATTTCCATAGGGATGCCCTAACGCGGCCGAGAACAGGGGTGGGAGTAGGAAATTGAATTTGATGCCAAAAGACATTTTCGCCTCAAGAGAATAGGGAATTGAGAAAATCTACAATTTCATTCAATCACAACTCAGAATAAATGCACTCTAGTGTTACAATTAGCAACTTAACAGAACTAAAATAGCTAGAGTAGCTTGATTATCCACAAACACTTTTACATTTTCCTCTTGCATTAAATTCAAGTTGTGCATCAACTTTTTCAACCATACTGCTCAGTTCACTACTGCTATTTCCGCAATGCTTCTGCAGTTGACTGGGATACTGTGTCTTACTTTTTTGAACACCATGAAAAACACCGTAAACAAATTGAAACAATACCAGAGGTGCTTTTCATCCAATGTCCTAATCCAATCAGTATATGAATAACACTGCAAACTCAAAGCTCTCAACTTTGATGATTTTGATGCCAAAAGACAATGTGTCTTTCAAATATCTCAAAACCCTCTTTGCAACTGATTCTTGCTTGCATACTGAAGAAATCTGGATAAGAAACTTATAGTCTATACGATGTCAAAACACTTTAGGAGCTTACTGAAAGGAGGTTAATGTAGGTTCAAGATGATTTTGAGCTTCGAGCTCCAGAGAGAAACAAACAGACAAGTATTCTCAATAATTAAATAGAGTTTTTTGGAACATCTCTATTTTTTGTAGATAGGGGTGTAAGGAAAAATTGAAAAATAAAAAAATCAATTAAACCAACCAAAAATTGCCACTATTACATGCACTCCTTTAACGGAGGCCTTAGGCCCATAATGAATGCATCGAATCGACTAAATCGCTGGCTAACTGGTTAGGATCGGTTTGGTTATGAACCATGGTGGTTTGGCTCAATTTTTATCTTTTTCCTCACATTTTTAGCGGTTCTACTTTGGTTTGGTGCTGAAATCAAATTGAACTGAACCTTCACACCCATACTTTCCAACAATAGTTACCACATATTACTCTAGAAGGGAGTAGCCACTTCTTACTCTACCATTGTTAGCTGGAGCTTCTACCGACTCTACCATTATTATAGGGGTAGAGTGTTCATGACAAAGAAAGATCTTGAGATAGAACCACAAGACAGTTTGTAAAATGTATCCTTACCATAGAGATGCCTCACCAACTGTTTCAAAATATACCAAAGAGGAAAAAAGAACCCATCATATTTGCTTTGAGATTAGCTGATGAAAAAAGGCCGGTTAGCCTTTTCAATTTGCTTCTTGCTCAAAGCACTTGAGAACCCAAGGAATTTGAGCCCTAGCTTTAGCCTTTTTGAACTTCCAAAGTCGCATGTACTATATTTGCTTCTAACAACCACTATGTCACCATATTGAAGACTTGAACCTCCTAAAGAAAAAAAATTTATGAGGCGACACACTCGGTCCCAGTGTGCCCCTTCTGGAAAAAATCTCTTAAGGACTTTTGCTATATCTCTAGCTACACTTTCAACCAATGACTCTTGGCAGTTGTTAATTTTGTGAGGAACATATTTCAACAGCTTGGTCTTGAGAGTTGGTGTCTGGTGATATCACAGTCTTTTGTCAATACAGTGGACTTGGCTCCTCCATGGCGCCTTCAATGGCCCAACCAAAGAAGGTTTCAGTGACTACTTTATCATTGGTTCATTTCAAGAACAAGAAGTCTTTCTCTTAAATGAATGGTTGCTTCTCATTCTCAACTCTGCTGGTCTCCAAGTTCTTAATCACATGAAAGGGAACCCCACAAACATCTCCAGTCCATTCCAGTCTTCCCTATTCCATCTGTTGATCGACAAATTTCTCACATTATTCTCGCTCATGATCAACCTTGATTGGAAGGCTCTTTTTTGTTATCCTTTTAGGCAGTGGTTTCCTCTTCCCCGCTCTTTGATGTCTTTTTTTTTTTTTGCTATTTTGTTTATAATTCAGTTTCTTATTAAGAAGGGAATCTTTCTAATATTCTCTCTATGGTGCTTGATTTCAATTTTCTGGATTGCTTGCATGAGTTACAGGCATGATTGACTTTGACTTATTTATTATGAATTGCCCTTTCCAGGAATTTGGGAGAACTGGGATGCACGCAGTCTCTTCTGTCCATGCACATCGTGGGTGCTACCTGCCTGACATCACACCTATGTGTTAGCGTACGGGCTTTTTGCGAGCTGTCTCACGGTACATTCTGCCGTACTTGTCAGGATCGCTAGTATCCTCTTTGTGAGTCTTGCTTATGGGAAACATGAAAAACATATAGTAAATGTTTCTTCGTGATGTCATTGTCACCATGGCCATCTTTATAGTCATGATGTCGTAATGTTTCAGCTAATTTTTGTGTTTGGATCATATGGTGTGGTATAACTGAAGCAGTTATTTTTATACCATTAAAATGTCATTTAATAAGAAGAAATTGGGATTGGGATTGATAGGAATGAATGGAAAAGATGGGTGATGCACGTGGACATTCTATCATTCGAAAGCAGGAGACTGTCGCAACATTTGTAGGTCCCTTTTTTTTGGCTTTTTGATTCTTTCCCCCTTTCTTTTCACTTTTAGCAGTATTCTATGTGCACTTTTCTAAACTTCATAAAAATTTTAGATATATGAAATGGCGATGGTGAGTATATGCATTGGAGGTGGGTGAAGAGGAAAGAGACACATCTATATGGGAAGATAGAAGGGAATGTTTGATCCTGTTTGATCAACTTAACTTCTTTTAGTTGTCAATTTATTTAGTTCCTTCAATGGAGGAAATGAAGAAATATTGAGGTGTGATAATTAGTGAGTCAAATAAGTCGCTCACTTAAATTCTCTTAGAAAAATGTATTTGAGGTTGATATGGGCATACAACTTCTAAGATTATTATCAAAGATGACGTTCAAACCTTCTTCCATGATGGATGATACTTCAATTCAGTCATGCATAAAGATTTTGTGCTGACCTTCCTCGTTATACTTCCCTAGAAATTCTGGTCGTTGTTTTTTGCTAAGTGTACTGTTTAGCTGGAAATAAATGTACGAGAGGGTTCAGGAGCTTGATAACTTGAATACTCTGTTTATTATTTCTGAGTCTCGTAAGTTGAACTGAAATTAATACAAGCTTCTCTCTTCATCGTGTAAATCGTATACAATTACTATTCATCAGTACCGCATGATTTTACCCCTCTAGGTTTTCCTGGTTGAGGGAACTTCGGTTTGTAATTATGTCATATCTTGTAGCAGTTATTATTATTTACTGGTAGCGGTAGTCTATGTGATCCAATATAATGAAAGAAACGAGGCTTTCATTAGATATGGAACCGTAGCGCATAACATTTTCGGTGGATGATATTTTTGTGATATCTTTCAGAGTCATGAAGCATTTCATCATTGAACAAGTGTTCTTTTCTTACAAAGAAATTGAATTAAAATTGTAAACTGTTCACGTGTTATCTAGTTCTTATTGCTTTTCCTTTTGCTTTACATTGCAGGTACTTGAGCGATCTCCAGTACGAGCACACATGTGAGCAATTCTATGGGGGTGAAGTTCAGTAGGGAGAGAGAATTTCTGGGTACTTTAGTAGGTTGGTAGATGCAATAAAAAAATTTCCTAGCTGTTCAGGGAACTCATCCTATTATTCCACATAGTACTCGGTTGTCCTTTGGATTTCCCAAAATTATCAATTGTTGATTTGACCTGCTTTGTTTTACCTTCAATTACTTTCATTACACTTACTGGATTTTGAATCACGTTATGATATTCTTGTTTCTATTAGCTTTCTCAGTACCTTAAGCCGAAGAATTATAGATCTGGACACAGCCCAACAGAGAGAAATAATAATCCATCCACCTGTAAGTTTCCCACACAAAAATGACACGTTTTATTAATGTAGGCCTTTTACATAAAGTTTTATTAATATATGCCTCTTGCATAAAGTTATGTATATCTTAACACATTAATGCTTTCATATAATGAGAAACATATGTGGAGAGCTAGGATACAAACTTGTATTTTCATTTTTCGTATCTTCCAAGTGAATTATATTTGTTCGTGGGACATGAACTTTTCAACAACCAATTAGAGTCGAGTGTGTCACAGTTTGAATGGAACAGTTCAAACCACATATTCAACAATAGACACGAAGGCGAATCAGGTATGCTTTCTAAATGCTTGTCTGTATTCAGCTTTCAAGGGCTTAAAAATGAGATTGGTGTTGAGTGGCTGTTGTTGCTCAGCTCTTATTTGAAATCCAATCCATGTTGTAGGTGGGAACGCAATAGCAACAGCCACATGGGGTGCCAATGCCGATTTGATTGACACTAACATATCAATGTTTCTAAAGCCAGGTTTATGGTTTATTGTTTCATTTGGTCCACAATGCAATGCCACTCGTGGCTTGCTGCAGGAGCATTTGGGGATCGTTGTTGATTTTCATGGCCCATAGCCTTAAGCTTAGCTGGTGTTGTTCCCTACAACTGGACTGGCCCTCCTGCTTCCCTCTGATAAAAACTTGTTAGGGAAACCCAAAAGACACCTTCAAGCCCCATGACTTATTCCTTCCAACCCCCACAAGGAACTTGATTGAAAATGGTAACAGGGTGAGGACAGAGATAGTCTCTCGGGTCTCAATGGCTGACCCGTCCAAGTTTAATTTCCGTTTGTACCAGCTAGTTTTATAGAATGTGGGGACGAGTTTGAAGATTTCTCCCTTAGGATTTGAATTTTTCTTTATTGTCAAGTAGGAAAACCTCTGATCTCTCGATTAAGAATAATTAGATGAATTATGTTCTAGTTTGAATTCTTTGAAGGGTAGAATTCGAACACTTTTAGCTACTATTCAAACAGTTTACATCCTTTAGATTAAAAAGTGGTTGATTTTCTTAGTGGAGGGCTTAGATCAATGGTTGGAAGGATGGAGAGATATTTCCAACCTCAAAATATAAAAACTCTCTCCCTCTCTCACTTATTGGATGTCCAATATACAGAAAAGGACCGTTGAGAACCCCAGTTAGAAAGTAAGTGCACTTATAAAGCTGAGAAGATCCACTGCCCACTAGATTGACCATCTTTTGATCATCATCCCCATCATTTACAAACCTTTATTCAAAGCTTAGCTACTTCCATCGTCATCAAATAGTAATTCATATTTTTTATCATGATTTAGTTTCATTTTCTCTGTACTTTAGCATTGTCTCATATTAATATAATATGAATTTGTGTTGTTCTCAAGCTTTCTTTAATCTTAAAAACTATGATTTAATGTGACTTAATGTAAAGTAGATGTCGTCAATTACTGGACAAACTAATTGGTTCTATCCATTTGCTAATTAACTAATATTAACATCTATCTATGACCTTTATGATTGTTGAATATGGGTGACTTGAATATTGTATGCCAGAAGTTTATGACCTTTATTAACACTTATTGTCTATATGGCTTATTTTGAAGAAGGTCATGCTTCGTTGTGCAACATTCGATGTGAACAGAGTTTAATGGATACGACATCAATTACCATTCAAAAAGTTGATGGTTAGATCCCTCACTCTGTTGTTGTTGAACTCAAACAAATTTTTCTCGAGACCGTAACTTCAATTTTTTTGGTCAAGATTACGTGTCTTCATTGAATTCCAATTTCACCTAGAAAGGCTTTAGAAAGGTTTAGTTTACATTTGGTTAAGAATATCTCATACTTCATTTCAGTTTGCAGTAAACATCATCATCCATAGAGAGCAACGAACCCAAGTTCTAGTTAGTTTACTGTTAAAGACACTAAATAAAGCAAAAAGAATCAAACAGAATTAGACACCATTGTAAGTCCCTGATGGGTAAAGATTCCAATGTTCCCTTCCTCTCTTAAGTGAGAGAGAGACAGAAAGAAAGATCCTGTCTTCTCAACTAATAAGTCTTGCAGATGAGGACATGAACAAGTACTTCAAATTTCCTGTCCAAGTTAATCAACTAACTTGTAATACAAAAGAAGTCAAGCAAATCTCTACGTAGAAGACAAACCACCTTCGATTCAAGGCTATCCCTATTGAAAAATTATGGAAGGGAGAGAATAATACACAACAGTAACTCTAACAGTCCAAACCCGCTGCTAGTCGATATTGTCTGTTTTGGCACTTTACGTATTGCCATCAGCCTCACAATCTTAAAACGTGTCTATTAAGGAGAAGTTTCCATGTTCTTATAAGGAATGTTTCATTCCCCCTCCAACCGTCGTGGGATTTCACATTAACCCACCAAATCAAATATTATTTTGAAACATCTTCCAGAGCCAAAAAAAAAAAAACCATCTGTTCTTGGTGGGGTTCCATTTTTTCATGAGATTACAATGGAAAGAAAGAACTTATTAGCAGTGCGTACAGTACATGGTGGTTCTTGAGTGGTTCTCCTCTACAAAAGAGTTAGGGTGACTGCTAAATGGAAAGGAAAAAAAAGAAAGTATGAATAATATATCTCATCATTATCCCAATCATGTACAATTAGGTCAGAATGCAAAGCCATCTTTGTAATAAAGATGCTTTTCTACTTATTCTCTTTTGCCAAACAGAATGAAGACCCAAAAGAAAATCACTCAGTTTTAGATATGTATTGGAAACATCAGCCTTGGAAAGAATCCCACAAAAGTAGTTTCAAAAGTGATTCGTTTACTTGAGTTGGATAAGAAGCACTCCTTCGTTACGTTGGAGGGACACTTCAAACAATGTCTAATAGCCCAAGCCCACTACTAGTAGATATTGTTCGTTTTGTCGCGCTACATGTCGTCGTTAGCTTCACGATTTTAAACGCGTCTACTAAGGAGAGGTTTCCACACTCTTATAAGGAATGTTTCGTTCCCTTCTTCAACTGACATGGAATTTCACAGATTGTGACTTTCAATTACATTGATTTTGGTTTTTCTCAAAATTTCCCAAAAGAAGCCTTGTGTAGTGTTGGTATATGGCTCCTAAAGGTGTGGCCAAGAAGAAAGTAGCAAACAAAAGAAAATCGACATTATGTGAAGTTTGAATATTGACCAATCTTTCTATAATGTCAAGTATTTTTGTGGGGTCTAAGCAAATAATTGAAGCGATCTTGAATTCAAACTTCGGTTGTCTATGTGAGTTTACACATTTACATAATGTTCTATACGTACTTTTTTCATAACCATTATGGTTGAAGAATTATACATGTTACATTTAATCTCACGAAACAATTATCAAACGTCTAGAATAGGTAGCCATCTTGATGTTTGCTCACCTTCAACGATATCAAGATGTACAACTTATTTGACCACTAGTCAACCGATAGCAATTCGGTTGAGACGAATAATTGAAGATCTTGATTTCTGAATGCATATCCAACGTAAAAAGTGGTATCATTTAAGAAGGGAGTGTTAAGAAATAGGGATTGGAAAGATTGATGGAAGTGGGGAATCCTTTAGTTTGAAAGGGAAACAGTATAGATGACATAAGCATTGTCAACTGGACCACTAATGGTCGGGTTGAAAATGAAGATAAAAGAATAATCAAAGCCTGCTTCCATTACCACAGCTTCAGTTTCAAGGTTAGATTATAGAATCAGCAATCAATCCATCCAAATTTATAGTTCAAAAATCACCACTTTTAGTGTGGAATCCGGGTTTGCAATGATTTTTCAAGGACAACAAATTGAAACGTCGATAAACAGTAACGGACAAGCTGATTCGAGTGAAGAAGAACGAGAGGCAACAGACCAACCTGATGGCGTAGCAGCTTTGGAGTGGCTGGACTTGAGCTTGGGAAGGAAGAACAAGCAGCTTTTAGCTGAATCACAAAGCTCTGCAGCAGCTTCAACCAAGACTTTTTCATGCAACTTCTGTAAGAGGGTGTTCTTCAGTTCACAGGCATTGGGAGGCCATCAAAATGCCCACAAGAGAGAGAGGAGTGCAGCCAGAAGGCACCAAGCCCACAAGATGATGACCCTGTTTGGTCTGCCAATCCATAATTCTATGATTAGATCACTTGGTGTTCAGCCACATTCACTTGTGCACAAACCAGGCAGGGAAGATACTGTTCTAGCAGCAAGATTTAATCATGTCAAAACTGGTTCATGGGCACCTTTCATGTTGGGGGATGCCATGGACTTGATGTGGCCGGGGAGCTTCCGCTTCACTCAACATCGAGTTCTCGAAAAGCCACCATCAATCGAACCGTTCCAGCTCGATCTGAATCTTCGACTTTAATTCTTGTGTTTATCTGTCTTAGTACTACTCCGGAGTTGTCGTCTTCATTCCTGTAGTGCCGAGTAGCTCGTTCGTATATCAAGTGCATTACTAACTCTAAGGGATGTGCTAGAAAGAAGATGCACCATTACTGTTGCATCTCTTCTGCTTGTTAAAACAAAAGAGGCATAATTTGTTTCAACTTTGGGGCATTGAGTATATCAATTACATCAAACTGAATAGGGTGTAAGGGGGGGAAGAGAAAAAAAGATCAATAATTATTTTGTAACTTTAAAATTCTTGCTTCTGTCAACTCTTCCTGTGGTTACCCATTTCAGTGCTCAATCACAGGTCGCCAGAACTAGCAAACATCCCGAACGCTTGGAAGTAAGCTCGATCGATATGGATGAGGATACTGTGCTAATTCAAGTTGTTGACAACATTTTTACTCGTTCAAAACTGATAAACATAGGACCCACATGCAGTAGATATGAGTACTTTCAATGTGTAAAAGAACTACATTCGACATTTCGATTTTGCAGAACCTAGCTTCACATTTAATTACAAGATTATTTGCAAAACATTTCA